CGGTCCGCTATCGAGACTTAAACTACTATCGATATTTAATAGGCGTGTGATAAATATCAGACATCACGATAAATATAAGATTAGAATAATTATAATAATAATTGACTAATTTTGGCTTCGTATAAATGTAGTTCCTAATTTGCCTATACGGTTTCCTGGACTTTCATGCTCCCTAACGAACATATCATAATGCATAAATTGGCCTTTCCCTTGTTCTTTCCCTTTTTCAAAGGGAGTCCCCCATTCAGTTCCGTAGGGGATCCAAACTTTCCAACGAGAAGTCGTCGGTATCGATGGAAAGACCTCTATTAAAACCATCCTGAAATTTCAATTGTGATTAGATTTTTTCTGTAATAATAGAGAAACGTATATAAACTTAACTCGCATCGAATCACCATGTATACCTTCATTTCGAGTAGTTTCTTATCTAGAAGACCAATAGCGTTCTCCAATTCTTGCTGGCTCGGATTGGAAATCGTCGTGGGTGCTCCAAACTCGCCCATTTCGAACGGATCATTAAACTCATTTTTCGTATTCATCGGTGGTACCGGGTTGAAGGGAATGCTCCCAAATAAATCCTCCTTCACTCCATTCTGTCGTCTAGAATCCTTTGCCTTTGGCGGTGGAGCCACTAAGAAAATAGAAACGAGGAAAATTGTACAAAAATTTGGAATCTGAGAACGTGTATCGGAATGACAACTGAGCAATCAACTTACATAACGGAGGAGGACTCGCGATGCCGTTACTTTGGGAGAAGAAGTTCGAACTTGGTGGTATCTGTCCATTCAGAAGGGAATTATGATTTGTTTGATGATTCATGGTGCCATTTGACGCAGTTTCGTAAGCCCTTGGATTAAAATCTTCCTCGAACTCATCCATCAGGAGTCCTTCTAACTTGGTACCAACCGATGGCGTAGGAGTCGGCTCACTTGTGTTTATATAACGCAACATTTTTGTTAAATATCCAGCAAACATTTTCAGGAATACTAATACCATACTACACACCCCATAAAGTTATCATCGAATGTCTTTTCAAAACTCCTCGGAGGAACTGGTGGCGGTTGTGATCCGTTCGGCGTATTCCCATTGGTGTCATTGTTGGCGCCAGTGGAAGGCTTGTTGCTTGTCCCGTTTACTTGCGGCGTATCATTCGATGACCCAGAAATATGCAGGATATCTGGCAAGTTGTGCTGCGACAAGTATGCCGACACGTCCGCCTGGTAAAAGGATAAATAAGGTCTTATTTAATATCTATACTCTAAACAATAACTTTAACCCTTTACACTCGAGAGATGACAATCACCACTTGATTGATGCAATAAAACTATAAAATTTGATATTTAACAGAAGAACTACCACAGTCAAATTGACTTTTCGAAATTTTTCTATAGAAACTCCGTCAGTGGTACTATTAAAATTTCTATTGATTTACAATTCAGTTTGCTTATCGCTAAATCAATTTCTATAGTAATTTCCGAGAATCATCTGTTATCTTTACTAGTTGTAAGAAGGAATCAGGAATGTGTCATTTGACCTCTCTGGTAGTTCTAGTATTAATACTTGTATATAATACATCAGTGTGAAATATTGAGATAAAAAAGCTTTGCCTCTCAATTTACTTGTAATTTTTGAGTTCATTTCAAAAAACGTGTTTGTCTAGTTAGAAAATGTCCAATATTTCTAGCGAAATACTTCCAAGTGCAAAGGGTTAACCCTTTGCACTCGGGAGGTGACTTTCAGTCACCACTTGGTTTGATACAGTAAAATTATAAAGTTTCATGTTTAATACTAATCTTTGTATAACGCATCATTATGTGAAATATCAAAGTAAATTACTTTGTCTCTTAATTTATCGATTAAATTATTTACATTAGTCGCAGCAAGCATCGTCTATATTTTATCAAAGAGCGTCGAATATTTCTAGCAAAAAACTTTCGAGTGCAAAGGGTTGAAACTCCATGTTCGCAGTGTTGACTGTTCAATCTTATGCCGCTTTCGCAACTAACCGAGCCTTTAATAGTAGCGATGTCTTGCAATCGTTGGCGATAAACGTTATTCTCGTGCTCCAGCCGTTTGATCTTCTGCTGCAGCACCATGCACCGCCTCTGCGTTTCCAGATCTTTGCCCGACGTCTCCAGGAATCGCCTGTACGCCAGATCAAAAGCTTGGCCGATCGTCAGCGTGATCTCCTCCGCTAATTTATCGCTAACGAAGACGAAGCATGTGTGCCTCTCCGCATCCTCCTCCTTCGCGATGAAGCTAAAGAACTTCTTCTCCCCCTTATCATCGGCGCAGTACGATATTCTGTGCAGCGGGTACTGATGCATGATTCGCTGAAAACACACGACTGAATATCAAGACCCATTCGGCACTGTATCACTGGAAACGAACGTTCCAACGTGAAACAGACGATACCTTTGGCGATGTTTTCGTTTTCGGCTCCTGAATCGCAACTCCATCGATGCTGATGGTCAACTCCACCTTCGGCGGCTTCGTTCCCTCGCCCTTCCTTATCTGTTTCAGCTTCAGTTTGCAGATCGCTTCCTTCACCACCTCGATGCCCTTCGGTTGGTCAACCTCTATGCTGCCCAGGTACTGAAACGTTTCACAGAAAAATGTAGATCGACGTACACTTCGAAAAACTGTTAACTGTTGACACTGGAACTACCGATCACAAACTGACTTTTACAAGTTTCTTTATAAAAACAATAAGCGTTTATTGAGATTTCAATTTTTACTGAATTAGTTCCGTTAATAATTTCTCGTAGTATCTGTACCTTTTCAGTAACTAAACGAGGAAGTCAGAAACAAGTCATTCTGACCCATCTGGTAGTTCTAGTGTTATTCCAATTATAAACAAAAGCTAACAGATCAACAGACTGACAGAACAATTTCGTTCACCTGAAATCCGAATGAAATCTCGCGAATCTAGGATAAACATATGCAACCAGTCGCATTGTGCATTCCATTTTTTCCCTATAGATTCCTCAATCGCTCGAGCACGCACGTGATGATTATCATAAACCGTTGCCCCATAATAAGTATCTAATAGAGACGATACAGCGCCGGGATCAGCGGTCAAGGTAGCGTCCAGCGTTTATCGACAGCGACGCAAGCATGCAATTAGTGGTCGGCGGCATCGATCGGTTCAGCTGATCTGTCTCCGCCGTTTAATGGCCTTATTAGACTGCACGAGACACAGCCGCACTAAATTTAGTCAATCGCATGCCGGATGGCGCAAGGTTGATCTTCCGAAGAAAAAGAAAACGCAACTTTGATCTCCATTGAAAGATCATGGTCTATCGGTTCAAAATATAACCGAAGCCATCGATTGTCCGCGCGTTGTGTACTTCTGTTAATTAACTTTTTGCAAACGTTGCCTTTAACATTAGGTTCACGGAACGCGTCAAGGTACATTGAATTTTGTACACATTATTTGGTAAAAGTTTCGATCGACGTAATTCTATTCTAACAAGATTTAAACGTCAATTTTTCTAGGAACAATAGCACAAACTGTACTAATAAGTATGTCTAAACCTAGCGTTAACCCTTTGCACTCCAGAAGTTTTTCACCGGAAATATTCAATATTTTCTAATGAGATGACATTTCCTCAGATTGAATTAAGAAATCTCACATGCAACGAGGAAGAGAACTATTTTCTTTCAATATTTCCTACATTGATGCATTATACAAAGTTTAATATTAAATATCAAAGTTTAGTTTTGCTGTGTCAAATCATTTGATGACTTAGAGCCTCTGGAACTCAAAGAGTTAACGCTAGATTTACGGACATTTATTGTACAGTTTATTCTATTGTTTCAAGATAGATTGACGTTCGTCCAGAATCGACCCAAAGATTTACCAAATAATGTTTATAAAATTCAATATGAGTCAAATTGGCTCGTTCTATAAATCTAGTGTTAAATTACACAGATACAGCTGATTGAACTGACGCAACATTGCGAGGCAGAGTTTCTGCACGGCTCGAGGCGGCATTGAACTATCCCAAAACAGGAAGTTAGCGATAGTCCCTGGGACTCTTTATTTATCGGCAAAATCCGAAGAAAAAAGGCGACAGCCTGTCGACTGGACGGTGAAATTCACTGTGGCTCGCGAAATTTCAAGGTGCAATGAACTTTTGGCGCGTTCCAACGTCGCACCAGCAACGGCTCGCGCGTATCTGTATTCCGAAAGAGGCGCACACACGCGTGCCAAACGATCCGCGCGGAGAAATGAAAGGTAGAAACATCGGCGAGGGGATTATGCAACTTTTTCGAGCGACAGCGACCGACGGAGGAGGCGAGGTAGCTGATAATATCGATGGAACGCAACCTGAAACAGAATTTTTTAATGAGTACAGCCGATCAGCTGACGGAGATTACTTGGAAATTCATCGAGCACTTAACGATACAGCGTGGAATTACAAATTAAAAGAAAGAAGACGAACAGCCGCGATCTACAGATTCCCATAGCGGTTGAATACCTGCGTTGATCATGAATTATTCGCAGATGAAGACGTCGCGTTTCACACTTCGAGCAAAATGATTTAATCGTTTCAGCATTGAATTAACACTGGATTCAACTCAGGTACTCAGCGAAGGTGAACTTTCGAAATTTTTCTATAGAAATTCTAAGGGCGCGTCTATTGAGATTTGGATTCACTGATTATTTGGTTTAATTATTTCTGAATCAATTTCTTTAGTGATTTCTTAGAGCAGCAACTGTTATCGTTTTGACTCATTCGGTGGTCTCGGTGTTAATGAGCAACCGATTGCTAGTTTAACTGAAAGAGTTCTATAAAAAGAAATCGTCTTATCGCGTGCAACGAGTCGTATCTCAAGTTCACCGAAAAAAAGAGCAAACCGGGACGCCACACCCCTCGTGACATCTCATTGTCGAGGAGCCGCATCTTTATCTGCCGGATAAAACGCAGTTTATATTTGCTCGCGGATTACTCCTTGCCGCCAAGGAGGATTCGTCGACTATCTGGCCTGTTTAAAATGCAGTAAATTAGTGTTTTTATCTGAACCGAAACACGACGAGAAAAGCGAGAAAGAAAGAAGTAAACTGTGATAGCTGTCGAGGTTCCGGCGAAACACGATGTTCAACGTTTAACAGTAGAACTACGGAATAATTTATTTTTATAATTATTATTTATAATTATTTATTATTATTATTATTATTATCCAATTTACTTATAATAACTCATATTTGTAAAAATTCAGAAATATCATTATTTTCAATCTTTATCATTATGTATTATTATTATTATTATTATTATTATTATTATTATTTGATTTACTTATAATAACTCATATTTGTAAAAATTCAGAAATATTATTTTCAATCTTTATCAACATGCAGTATTATTATTATTATTTGATTTACTTATAATAACTCATATTTGTAAAAATTTAGAAATATTATTTTCAATCTTTATCACTATGTATTATTATTATTTATCATTATTATTCTTCCTACTATTTTATAGAAACTCATCAGATACGTTTATTGAGATTTCCATTGACTTATATTTCACTTTGATTGTTGTTGTATCAATTCGTTTGAGACTTTTCTGGGAAATCAGCTGTATCTTTCCAATAATTATGAAAGAAGAAATCAGGGACAGGTCACGTTGACCTGTCCGGTAGTTCCGGTATTAATGTTTTCTGCGAGCGCATCGGGATGATAAAAATGGCGGACGGCGACAGCGGGAACGCGTCGCGACCTTCGCCTTTCCGGAAAGGTCAACATCTGGAGGAATACCGAGCCGCGATTGGAAATCGTTTATTTTTCTTTCGCCAACTGAACAATTTTGCAACCGCCGCGTGTTGCGACCTCGGGCGTGTTGCTAAATTCGCGCTCGTTGCATCGCGCTTAACCTGCACTTTACGGCGAACGATTTTGATATAAGTCGCTTGTTTATATTTTTACGAAACCCTCTAGATTATGTAACGCGGCGAATAGAACAAGAACGCTAGAACGATTTCACGTGCAACAATGCGCCTAGATTGGCGATTCGTTGAATTTTTCTACGCGCAATTAACTGAATTTATATTTGCAATACAATATCGTGTCAATCTCGTTTTTAAACTGAATTTGAGAAGTCCGAGCGTCATTTATTTTTTTCAAATACAAGTTAAATATTACTCTTCTATTATCAATCGTTAAGCTTTGGAGTAAACGTAGAGAACAACCATCAAAATTATTTCTTTTTCTAATACGTTATTAACGATCAAGTGGTTGTGTCAATCATAGTTAAGTAAATCATAGGAAAAGGGTTTAAGCAATTAGCTCAAGCTTCTATAAACTAGATCCCACGTGAACCAGCGCAGGAAGACCGAGAATATCGCAAAGCGAATCGAACGAAGAATATAGGATCTGTCCGTCAGTTGGAACTGTACGCGAACGCGAAGTGGCGACTCATAAATAGTATCGAACGTTTCGAAACCGAGGCACAATTAAGAAGAAAGAATCCTTACAGCGTTGGAACAGTTAGAAAGTCTGCCTACGTTCGTACATACGTATAAGTTCTTGTCCTTGATTCGAGTATTTTCAACGCTTCGCCAATCAATAAAATCGAAAGAAACCCACGATCGTTACATTTTCTCCGCGCTCTCCGTGCTTGGTTGTCGCAATTACCCGCAGAGAAATCCGTGAAATCAAAAATTCAGGCGAGCGAAAATGCATGTTAACCCGCGTTTTCTACTCGTGTCCCTCGATCGAACATGTTCGCGTCGCATCGCCTTGTATTCGTAATCCACGACAACCTTTTTTTCGTGAAACATTATTTCCCGTCGACTTCGGCGCGCGTCGGGCGCTCTTCGAGCGGGCAAGAAGCGCGAAGGCTCGAGGAGAAATCCGTGAAATCGAGAGTCCGTCGAGTGACTTCAGTGAAATCGCTCGGGCGAATATAATTTCGCACTTCCCGCGGGTTCCTTCTTCTTTTCCTGTGATCGGATCGGGGCCCTCCTAACTTGAAACATCCTGTGCTCGCCAGCCGACCAAGCGAATTTTTATGGAACGAGGTGAATGGTATATACCTTGACCAGATAGGCGATGTGGCCTTTTTGTAGCGCGTCCGGTGGGTGTATCCAATTCCTGGTCGTTCCTGCAACGAGAATTCAACGGTTTCACATAACCACCGATCGATCGGCCGATTTTTATTCGACGCCCATTACCGAATCCCCTCTCACCATTTTTGCTAGTCTGATTTTTACTGTTCGCCGAGTTCTGCGCCCACTTCAGCAGCGTTGAGTTCCTCATGCTGTCGGCCTCTAATCGTTACCTGCACACGAATACCTGAAACAGAACAAGGGAAACGATCGTTTAGAATTGTTCCTTCGACTCCGTGGAATGAGGATTTCTACTTTGTAATGGAAACGTTCAATTAGAAGAGAGAAGAAACTTGAATCTCCGTTGAGATTACCGAAACTATCAGTTACGTTATAAGTCGCTCGGAAGTCACTGAGCCGATTCTTTAACATTTTCTGATTTCTCTGAATTTTAATACGTTGAATGCCATGAGGTCACCGGTGACCCTCAAGCAAATCGAATTAATATAATTCACTCAATGAAACGATGATTATTCGCAGACATTTCTATATTATAAATAATGCTATCCATTGCGGTGACATTCAGTTTTATGAACGTGCAATGATAATCCAATTCAGTCAAATGATTTAATATTGAAATTTTCCATTTTGTGTATTTTGCTCAATGAAATCGTGCGACGTTCAACGTGTTAATGGAATAAATAATATTCTTCTTAGTTATTAACCCTTGGCACTCCAGATGGTTTTGTAATTTATCAGCAACTGCAACTAATTTTTATAGTATCCCTAGCGAAAATGAAAAATGCTGTAACATTTCTTAAATCTTTTATTTTCCTTCTTACTGTGAAATTTGGATGTGTGACAAATCGAATAATTGTAGGGTAGTTTCTTTAAAATTCATTAAAATATTTAATATTATCCCTGGTGCAATATCGGAGCCAACAGAGTTCAAAGGGTTAAAGGATTCACTGTTCTTCGGTTTTTCTATCAATGCGCCCTTTTTTATAGCTTCTGAATATCTTGCGGAATCATTTCACAAGCAGAAACAACTTCCTCAATTCTTCTTTCCCGGACTTAACCGCATTGACTTCCGAGCGGTTCGTATCGTCGGATGATCATGGTACACACGAATTACACGAAATCGTGCGAGATTCGAGCGCGTTCGTTTCGTAGAATCTTGCTCCACTTTCGGATGATTTTTTAGAAAACCGTGTCGAATCTCCGTGCTTTCATCGAGATCACTTTCCTGGACCGTGCCTCGGCCGACACGCGATAGAGAAAACGCTGTACGCGCTCGTAACGATCGAACAGCCTCTGGAAGGCGTTCCACGGAGATGCAAAGCGTGCATCGAGCACAAATACCACCTCCTGCCCCCTTTTTTCACCGCTGCAAATGGAAACGAGATGTTTCCGTGCGCTCCAACGCTCTGCGTCATCCGCTACTACCCTCAAGTTCGGATTATTACAAGATTGTAATGGATGTTCCGGTAGTTCGTCAAATATAAGAAAACTACCGCATGCTATCTCCCGAAATCGTTTTCACCCTAGATTTAAATACCCCCAGCGAGGAATTTTCTATAAAACGTATCGAGCGTCTACATATTATCATCATCGAAAGATTTCAATCAATATTCTTAGCCTTTGCGGTAGTATCTAAGAAAATTCACTTCTTTGCAGCTTTGTACTTTAACACTAGCATCGCCGTAGAATTGAAACAACTTATTTTGAGTGTTGAATATTTATTTGCTAAGAATAAACACAACACTGTTTCAAAACTGAGTGTATATTTATTAGTACGTATTAACACATTGAATGCTGGCTAAATTTCAGCTACTAAAAACGCGAGCGTCGGTGATTATATTGACACATTTTTAAACATCGATTAAACCAAAATTTCTAACTTACGGAAGAGAATAAGGAATTCGATTTTGTAAATTTTACTTTGAATTTGTGTTATGCATATCTAAAATGTTACGTGAATGTAGGATTAGCAATTAAACGATACACTAAAAGTTCCGCATTATCGCGGGGTCGGCGCTCGATGTGTTAAGATGATTTACAAAATCTAAAACGGAACGCTGTTCGATGCTTGAGCGTTTACTAAGAACTGTCGAACGACGCGGAGAGAAAAAAAAAACGCTCAGCGCGTGCAATAAAAGTGGCTGTCCTCAGGAGGAACAACTGACTCCTGAGAAGACTGCACCAATGGATGCTTTCTAGCCATTAAAAATATATTTAATGCTCACTCTCAACATAGAGTAAAATTGAGATGTCTTTAACACTAGAACTACCGAGCATTTAATACGATTAATATGCAATTCCTATAAAAATTGTAACAATAGATTATTTCCAGTTTCTTCAGACATTCATTATAGTACTCAAGTGGAACTATTTAATTTCAAAATCATTTCGAATATTCAATGCTTTGAAAATATCAATAATTGCTAAACAAAAAAATCGAAACCAGTCATTTTGACTGATACGGTAGTTCTAGTGCTAAACGCAAACACCTTATTCTGCAGTTACCCACAAAACCATTTTCATAATTTCAATAATCGTAGAATAGACATTCTAATAGTTCCAATGTTAATTTCCAACGTGTTCGAACTATGGAAAACACGATAGAAACCGTAGACATTAAATTTCTATTAGTCACTTGAGAATTTCCTAAAGGTTCACGTACAACCGACCATAATTGTGTGAAAATCAGCAGTCCACATACCATCCGAACGCGTTCAATTGGAGAAAAACACGGGACTAAGTGAAACATAAAGATCGCTGGTGCATGGGGAAAGAAAGACAACGATTAACGGCGCGGCGGAAAAATCAACGAGGCTGCTTTTACACCTGCCGGTGTAAAATGGTCTGTAGAGGCGCAGCAATCGGAAGGAAAAAATCGTGTCGTCCATTCGGAGGGAAAAGGCGAGGCGTTGCGTAACCGCGAAACAACTTTTCACCGTTCGCGCGGACCATGGGAAGCGCCGCGCCGCGTTTTTACCTCGGCCGAGTGCAGATTATACAATCTCGTAGATAAAATAATCGCAGAATCGTGGAAGTCGCTCACAGAACTGTCTCTCGACAAATTAGTTGGTGCACCGCGTGACTGTACGCGCGTTTCGCAACACTGGCCTCTTCCATCGCGATTTTTTCGCGGATTCCGCGATATTTCCATCGGAAAAGATAGAAACCAGTAATGAATTCCCCATTAGCTTAATAGAAATACTTTGTAAGCAGAATGAAATTGTAGCTTTCTACAATTACACTGTTTTCTTTCTAATTATAAAGTTGTACTTGAATTACAAGCTTTAACCTCTTGCGCTGGAAAGACGTGCCACGTCGAGACGTTTCTGTTTCAAAATGATCAACAATATCTTTTACACATTGATAATCTTGTTGCATTACGCATATTAGATTGTTTCGAAATGTATCACTCTATACAAAATGATTAATAAACGAAATTAATGTCCAGCTCTGCGTAAAATAGGTAAAAACAACATTCATCGCCCAAGACTTTGTCAAATCTCTGAATTTATTTCCAGCGCAAGTTAAATCGAATGTAACTACGAAAAGGCTCGAAATGACTCGTTCCATGTTTGTTTCACAATTATTGAGATTATGAGCGTACTCCCAGGAGAAATTGTAAAATACAATTTAACAATAATATATTAAGAAAACAATATAGTACTTAGTTCCAGTGTTAAACTATATTAAACTATATCATTCGAATCGAAGTATTCCACGTGCTTCGAGGTTCACAGTTGCGTTCGAGAAGCGAGTGCAACAAATTCACTGGATCTTTTTGATTGCCAATTGAAATTTTCTTGGCCTGACACACAGGGAAGCTATTAGACATGTCGAGCTCTTCAAGTTTTAATTAGCAGCCCGCGTAAAACCGGCTTAAAGCGCGGCCGATTGTTCGCCGCCGGAGCCAGTCAGCCTTGGACACGAAGGCTAAATCCTTTCGCGTTTCATCATCCCGCGCATGACACTGTTCACACTTCGCGCGACCGCTGTGTGTTCAATTAGATCAAGTGTCCGTCGACGCGACCCATGCGCGCGCGCGCACGCATCGTTGGTTCCCTTCTCCGGAGGGTTCGCCAGGAAATCTTGAACGCAGGACGATTTACTTCGGCTGCCAGATGCTCTGACAACACGTCATCTTTTATTCTATAAAAAAGAAATCAACGAACAGCTGGTACCGTTACTTCAATACTAGAACTACCGAGCAATTAGAGTGACCTATTTGGAATTCTCTTATAGAAATTAGCACAACACATTCCTAGAGATCCGACGAGTCTCTTGTATCTGTGCAGATATACGAATTTATTGTACAATCTCTCGCAAAAGCGTCTTCGTCATTTAAATGCTGAATAAGAATTTTTAAGTGGCTCATTTTCACCTATCAATTCTAGTGTTAACTTTCCTAGACAGTCTCTCCACTTGCTATTATTGACTTGTTATCTCTTTGCACTCGAAGGGCGCCTTTCAGTCACCACCTGATTTGACGTAACAATATTACAAAATTCTGGATTTAATATTAAATGTTTTGTTATGGATCAATAGGTGGAAATAAAATAGTTCTGTCTCTAACCCTTTGCACTCGACAGGTGACTCTCAGTCATCATTTGATTCGATATGCCGAAATTGTAAAGTCTTACACAGAATATTAAGTTTCGTGTCATCTATAAATATGTAAAATATTGAAGTAGTAACTTTGGTTCTTAACTTATGTGTTCTCTCGTTCACTTCATTTCAAGGAGTGTCCTATATATCTTATTAAAAAACGTTGAATATTTCTAGTGATAGGCTTCCGAGTGCAACGGGTTAATTTACGTAAGATAATTCTTTGTGTCAGGGAAAGCTATCAATATTCCATCAGAATATAATGAATGTTTGCAGTGAAAGATACTTTCCGACTTAACCCTTTGCACTGCGAAGTTTTCCACTAGAAATATTTCAACATTTTCTGATGAGATGAAGATGACATTTTGTAAAACCAACTCGACGAGAAATTCACGTGAATTGGCGGGCAAAGCTATGTTACGTCAATATTTCTCAGACTAATGTATTATATGAAGTATAATATTAAATATCAAACTTTATAGCTTCACTGTAGGAAATCAAGTGGTGACTGAGAGTCACCTCCCGAGTGCATAGGGTTAATAAACAATAATCTTTCTAGAAACTGTATTTTTCCAAAGTCTACAGTGCGATTTACAAAGTATCAGCTAAGACTCCTCGAAGCGG